TAGGGAATGTACAAATCTTAGCTTATTACTTCTTTTTAGAGAAGAGTCAGTATCTATAGGACTAAGACTCCATTATTTTGCCTTCATCTACTGAGTCAACATTTCTCTCTAATAACACATTTGTTTCAAATTTCATTGTTTCACAGTTCATCTCTGAGGTGCGATATCAGCTATGGGCAATGTTTTAAATCCTGGTTCCATATTTTCTTCTTTTTTATTATCTTTAGTTTCTAATGAAACTGTTTTGCTTCAGGAATCTTTTTTTTTTTTTGACTTTTATCTGTTTGCTATGGGTTTTCCTTGCACTCTCCCCTCTTATCTTTATATTTCTGTTTTCCAGGAACTTAGGTTCTTAGTCAAAGGTTCCTAGGTCAAATAACTTACTTTTACAAGTTACAAAGATTTTACTCTTGGAGAAGAAAGTAAGTTTTGTTACATCCTTTCTGTGCTTACCTTTTCATTAATTTATCCTATTTCCCCTGAAGTGGGGCGTGATAAATGCTGAAATAATTGGATTTTAGGGAAATGACTATGCATAATTTATACATAATTCATAATTTTCTCTTAAATCAGGTGATATTCCTAGTGATGGTAATATCATTTTATCATTATGCTCTGATAGAATTCTTCACAGAATTAAAGCCTAAAAAGTGATATTCTTCAAAGAGGTCATTGATCCAAAGCCTATGCAAGTCAATGATAAGACAGTGTCTGACTTAAAGAGGCTTTGGATCAGTACCCAATAGAATGAAACGAATTCTCAGGCATCAGGGACTTCTTTAATCTCATAGTGTTCTTTATTTCATGGTTGTTCATATTACCAATTTTAGAGGCTTTTCTCACTCTCTTATCTTTCCAGAGGCCTGATTCTGGTCTGCAGATTCAGTGCAATGTCTGCATTCTTTCTAACTCTGCTTTCAGCTGTGCTGACCCTCCCATCCAGGTCATATATGCTTTACCTAGAAGCTTGATATGCGTATCAACTCTGAATGCCTTGCTCCACGTCAACATTTTTCTTCTTTTTACCCTTTTCACAGGGAGGGTCTTCTCCTGTCTAATAGAGGTAACCAAGATACCAACTTATCTCCATGAGAGAACTGAGACCAGTCTTTCTGAGCTGTCAGATTGCCAATTTGCTGTACGAGTGATTTTTTTAAAGACAGGATTCCACTGAGATGCAGAAAGTGGATGTTTTCTGACCAATTGCTATAACTATAAAGCAAGGTTAAAAGCCTGATAGGTTCAGATTCAGCAGCTACCAAACTAGACAATGTGTCTAAAGGACATGGTTATAGAATAATGAAAACTAGTTTTACCAACAAAATAAAATAGCTTATTTTTTAATTAATACTTAGTATATTTAATTAATACTTAACATGCTGACAAAGATGCTCATTATTTGAGTGATTCTGTACAGAACACAAAAGTGCTCTTTTTTCATCTCCATTCATGGTTTCTGAGAAAGGGAAGTAGTGCCTTGGTAAAACTTAAAAATAAAGTTGTATCTACTTTTTAGTTGATTCTGGTGTTACGGCAGTTCAGCAGAGGCAATGTTCATTACAACTTTATTTCACTTAGTATATAATTTGCACAAACCAAATACAACTCCCAACACCCACACTTGAAGCTGAAGTTAGTATTTATAGCACTCAGCATAAGCCTGAGGGCTTATTCAACCTGTGTATTCGGCAGTATTAGTACATTTTATATTAATGATACAACCTTCATTTGTGACCTACATTGTTATTGGTCACGGAATACTGCAGCCTCTTCTAGGACCACTTACATAATCTTTGTTCCTGCATTAACAAAAGGGAAGCAAGAGTTTTTGCATGCTAAAAAGCAGTAAGCTATGAAGAAATACATGGAATTATTCATTTTGCAGTGACATCAATCATTTACATTTACCTCACTTTGCCATTTGTAGTCTCTTATAAAGTCTTTTAGACACATTAGTCTGACAGCGTCTCAAAGAGGAATAATCAGAATTTCTAGCTGGAAGGGAAGCATCACGTCTTTATAACACATTAGCAAGGCAGGCTGACGCTTTTCAAGGAACTAATTTCCAAAGTTTTCATTTATGAGTATCATTATCTTTCTTTGTGAGGAGTACTTTACCATTTGTATTCCTTGAAGCCAGCCTGGATAATACTCATCCTTTCATATTAGCACCTGTGTTAGTTTTACCTAAAGCATTAGAAACGCTCTCGGTAACAACAAAACCTCAGTTACAATTTTTAAAGAACGATAATACCATTTCAAAAGGTAATATTTGGAAATAGACAGTTAGAAGGAAAGAAGCCTATGCTTCCATAGCTCTTTCCAAGGCAAAGATTTTCCCGCTAAGCTGTTATTTGAATATCCCATTTAGCCATGCCATTCACAGAATCACAAAATCACAGAATGGTTGAGGTTGGAAGGGACCTCTGGAGATCATCTAGTCCAACCTCCCTGCTCAAGTAGGGTCACTTAGAGCTTATTGCCCAGGATCACATCCAGGCGGGTTTTAAAAATCTCCAGGGAAGGAGACTCCACCACCTCTCTGGGCAACCTGTTCCAGTGCTCCATCACCCTCACAGGAAAGAAGATTTTCCTCAGGTTCAGATGGAACTGCCTGTGGTTCAGTTTGTGACCGTTGCCTCTTGTCATGTTGCTGGGCACCACGGAGAAGAGGCTGGCCTCATCCTCTTGACACCCTCCCTTCAGATACTTGTACACGTTGATGAGATCGCCTCTCAGTTTTCTCTTCTCCAGGCTACACAGGCCATGCTCTCTCAGCCTTTCTTCATGGGAGAGAAGCTCCAGTCCCCTAATCATCATCCTCGTAGCCCTCCGCTGGACTCTCTCCAGTAGGGTCATGTGTCTCTTTTCTGGGAGTCTGAAATTGGATACAGTACTCCAGGTGAGGCCTCCCCAGGGCTGGATAGAGGGGCGGGATCAGCTCCTTTGACTTGCTGGCAACGCTCTGCCTCATGCACCCCAGGATAACACTGGCTTTCTTGGCCACAAGGCCACAGTGCTGCCTCATGGTCAACTTGTTGTCCACCAGCACTCCCAGGTCCTTCTCGGCAGAGCTGCTTTCCAGCAGGTCAGCCCCCAGCCTGTACTGGTGCCTGGGGTTCTTTCTCCCTAGGGGCAGGACCCTGCACTTGCCTTTGTTGAACTTCAGGAAGTTCCTCTCCGCCCAGCTCTCCAGTCTCTGCAGCTCCCTCTGAAGGGCAGCACAGTCTTTTCTGTGAGGAATAAGCACATTTCTCATCTTCTGTATCCTTTGTGCTGGTGCTGAGGCACTTGAAATGGAAATCTTTGTCAGATTTCTAGAGGTCTCTTCAGTAACTGTCAGTTCACGAATGGGACAGGCCATTATGATTGGCTAGTCTGACCTCTTATATATTAACTTGGCAACCCAATTTTTCCTGTATCATGCCAATGATTCCAGCTGAGCTTATGTTTACAGTTTAGAGTGACATCTAGTCTTGATTCAAAGACTTCATATAGGAAAATCCAGCATGTCTCTGGGTATACAGCTCCTAAAACTGATTGCTGTTACCAAGAAAAGGCCATATTTTACTTCTATATTTTAAAAGATCCAAAATCTTGTTTGTCTGTGACCTCCTGTCACTGTATCCTGTACTTGTTAGAGTGGTACATCAGGGAGACCTGCAATATCAAAAATCTTCCTCCCATGCTAGAATTAAACAACTTCAACGTTTCTGCAGTCAGCAGGATTTCTTACCTGAGTCAGAACAGCATGGTTTGGGTCTAGATGTGCTCCTACGGCATGTTCTTGTCTTACAAGAGCGCTATTGGACTTGATTTGATAGATTGCTTTATTTTGTCTTCTGCTTTTTTAAACTGATGGGCATGTTTGGGAGGCACTGAAATAATTAGCACAGAAAATGGTGTTTTCACAAGTGCTTCAGGGTCTGATGAACCTAGATCATTCTCATAGCTGGCAGGTCTTGGGATCTGAGATCACTTTTGGAAGCTTCTCCATTGTGCCACACTGGGCAGGGTATGAAGGAAGCATACTCTGTCATTGTCAAAGAAGATGCCTATTTTTATACCTTTATTAAAAAAAATGAGTTTTGGGCAGTGAAACATGACCTGTGTTTCTTTTCTCTTTTCTGTAATAAAAGAAATTGTGCACCCACCTGCTGCATAATTATTTTAGTGCCTTTTATAGATCTCTACAGCTAAAAAAGACCTTGAGAAGTCACTCACTTTATCACCATGCCAAAGACGGGACCAAATACACCTAAACGATTCCTGAAAGATATTTGTTCAACGTTTTTTTAAAAGGCTTTCAGTGATGGGAATTCTGCCACCTCTGAAGACAGTTTACTCCAGTGCTTTACCCTGTCGACTGCTCAAAAGCTTTTTTAAGGAAAATTGTGCAGAATACTCTCAAACTCTGAAACTACAAGAGAGGATGAATGAAATATTTTTCTATGGATTAAGAAGGAATTTGGTTTATACAGTCTGCTGGGACACTTGAAGAATATTGTTCCCTTTGGATTAATATGTAACATAATAAAAATTGTCTTTTGGAAATTAGCTTTTGTAGTTTCCTGGTACTTCTGTCAAAGTCAGTAAAAGCTTGGTAGTGATTTCATAATTGCGTGTTTGTACCTAGATATTTTTCCCCTTCTCACTCTTCAAAATCAAGCAACAGAAAAAAAATCGCAGCACTTATCATTGTTTTCCAGCAAATGTCAACATGAGGATGCACAATTTCATTGTCCTTGGTGAGGTGGCTGTGTCTTTAATGAGACAGTCTGTCACATCAACTCAGTGAATGCTTGTGAGATGTCCTTCCTTGAGCTGTGGTGGTATAGCATGCTGATTCACATGAATATCTGATGGGTTTACAGTGTCTCTTGTGTGGACGTGAAAAAAATGCCTTTTTAACTGTTATGCTTGGATATTGCTGAACAATGCAATAGGAGTTTATTGAGGTCACGGGTCTCATTAATTTTGCTTGTATGATCAATTTCTAGGTTCAAAACACGAATAATGTATTGGATCTGCAGTAGTCGATAACCCCCCTTGAGGAGCCCCTTGCAGCCACATACAGAGTTATGTAAGTACAGAATGTGATTTCTCCCTCCATTGGTTTTACTGGTGGTGACACTATTTTTGGTCTCCCAGCTCCAGCTACCATGAAGTGTCAAATGGCTCAATATCTTCATTGGCACTGATGGATTTGGAGCTTTCACTACATGCACTAAAATTCCTTGAATCCTCTCGGTTGGTTGAATTGGGGCCCTTCTGAAACCTTCACTTGGCAAATTTGATTGAAATAAAAAGAGAAATAAAACGGTAGAAATTTGTCAGTATGTAATAGGAATGGTAAGATCTATGCAGAATGGAACACTACAGCATCATTTTGTTCCTGATATTGTCTCACTAATACGGTGTGAATAATTTGCAACATGTATTTTTTACCTCTGTGATAGGTCTTGAAAATAGTTTATTTTCTCATTGTCTTTATTTGCTGTATGTGGGGTTTTTACCTGTATGCATTATTTCAATTTTGCTTGTAGCCTGCTGAAAACAGAGGCAGAAGAAACAAGGTGCTAGGCACCTGAAGGTTTTGTGAAGTTTATAGATGGAGCTGGTAAAAGTGTCAGCAAAGAATAAATGTGTGGTGAAAATATGGAATCATTTCTGTCAAGACTATTTGAAAATCTAAATAAAACTTACCAAATAGTTTTACTCATATAATTTGTTCAGAGGTAGGTATGTAAAACTCTCATTAGAATAATTGTCCCCTTTAATTTTCCAGCTTGAGCCAGATGCTCTTTAAGATTCTAGTGTATCTTTGCCGTCACCTCTTTCATGTTTGTAACACTTGCACGATGGAGGAAAACCAGAAGTTGTATCACTCCTCTATTCTTCTACAAGGCCCTGTATCCTCTTTTCCTTCTAATAGGCCTTATTTCCCTCAGATATGCACTTACACTGTTTATTGACTTCTAAGATAGGAGTTTCTTACCCTCAGTCCTTGATATTCCTCATATTCCTGATGATTGGACCTCCCCTGTTCACTCATTCAGAAACCCATCAGATGTACATTTTTCTTCTTCTATTTGGGATGATGAACCTCATATGCCTGGCTCCCCCAACTCTTCACGTTTAGCTCCTCAGCAGCCTGTTTTCTAAGTGGTTTGGTCTTTCTGTTGTAAAGTTTTTGGGTATATTTGCTGTATTGCAGTGCATGGGAGTATGGGGAGCAGGTGTTCCATCCTTCCTGCATACTTGTTTGCAGTCAGTACAAGAGTACATGTACCATTAGCCCCACAGTTCAGTCTCTTGTACCACTTAATAGATTTAAGAGCCATTCAAGGCTCCTTTTTCTCAGAGAAATAAAATGATATCATAAAGCCAACACTGTTGTCATGTGACAGGTATGCAGAAGCCAGCTAGTTGCTTCCTGAAAAGAAGTAAATCTGGATAAACTGAAAAAACCCCCTACTTGGTCTCTCACTCACAAACTAGTTCAGGCGAAGATGGGATTACTTTGAATATGTGTGGTAAGACTGAATTCACGCTACTGACCCATAGAATTAAATGGTTTTGTGCATGTGAGCAAACTCTCACTGCCATGAGTCATATTAAAAGTCTGATTCAAGCAATACTGTGCTTTTGAAATGTTGTCTAGAACCAACAGAGGGACCTTTTAGAAAATAGCTTTCAAAAAAAAGTGTGTGCTCTGGCTTTAATCTCTTCTGGTACTTCTTAGAGAACAATGGCAGCATTTGGTATTGCTAACTATTAAGTTTTAGTGTATGGATTTATGGATTTCAATTTTAGTGTGTAGCTGCGCTTCTGTTTAATGGAATGTATACCTATAAACCAGGGAAGCTCTGCTGCTTAATCTGCTCACAGCTCCTGAAGCACCACAAAATTCTCTTACGAGTCTTGTATTTTTTCTAAGTATTCTCTGGCAGATACAGTGCAACATTTTTAGTGATGCTTTGGAAGTTGTCTTTGCTTCAAGAGTGTAATATCTGATTTACTGTTTTGCCTCTTTCTTCATTCATGCTTTGTAGCGTGATAAAAACTCAAAAACTGAAGAACTGACACCTTCACATTCTGATTTGGAAAATGTTCTTTTGTTAGCAACAATTAATGACATTTTCTTTCACACAAGTCATACGCATAAAATGAGGGGCTGAAGAAATCTTCTTGTCACAGAAAATGTAAGGATTTTGAGTTTTTTTTTCTGATTTGCTGTACCTAGATGCTTTGAATGAAGTCTCCTGGCTTAGTGAATTGGCATCTTCTACTACAATTTCTAAGCGGCTTTCCTGTAAACATCTCATAATGGCAGACGGCTGCACTGACACATTACAATTTGCATGCCCATTTACTAAGCACTAACTTATGGCATTAAACCTTAGCAGTACTGAGTGCCCAGTATCACCTCAGTGCAGGCTTGGACATAAGACCGCCAAAGTCTGCCAGGAGTTTGGATCAGGCCTTGGCCTTGATCCTTTGCTGAAGGCGAGAAGCATGTGTTGTGAGGGCCAGATGCAGAAGGATGGAGGGAGAGGAGTTATTTGTGCCGCTAAATTTCTACAACCTCCATTTCCATGAACTTTTCTTGGCATGCCTAGCTGGCATGTTCTCAAGCTCTGCTTCTTAGGATTGCAGCTGCCAGGAACTGTCTGGTCATGAGGATGTGACGTTCCTTCTGTAGCTAGAAATGAACACTATATAGCTTCAGTGCTACACAAGTAATTAAAGTTTCTTGGTGTTCTGTAAAAAAGGCATTGAGAGAATGCTAAGACTAGTAGTTAGGTGCCAAAAAAAAAAAAAAAGAGACAGAAAATATCTGAAAATGGCAAAATTAAATACAGTGTAAAACTATAATCTCCTCTGCCACTTTTTATTATGCCATAAGCACAGGCCATTTCTCAAATAATCCAGGGAAACTGAGAGACTTACATATTGGTTTGAAAACAGAGCTATGTGGCTTGCAAATTTTTTATCTGTGGTTGCATATGCCCTCAGTGCTCTTTAACGCAATCTGATAGACTAAACTATCTGCTTTATATGAATTTGTTAAGAAGATGAGTGAGCAAACACACACCTGAGCAAGTTGGTATTATACTCTATCCTGCAATTTTACCCAGATAGTTAAAGACTGAGAAATACAGTGTTTAAGTCAAGGTCACAATAAAATTAAATCAATTAACTCTAATATTCTAACCTTAAATTTAATATAAGAGAGTCACACCAAATTATAAAACTGGTAGTGGATTTCTCTAGGGAAAATTTAGGTAGAGGACTGGTCTCTTTCAATCTAATAATATTTACGTAGTCAATGCTGTACTTCTGCACTGACCTAGGTGATAAAGGACACAGATCTCTGTAGGATGTATTTATCCAAGGACCTAAGCATTTGCTCTGCTCTTTAATTCCTCTCAAGAAAAGTCACCCAAGGCAAGCAGTGTGGTCTGCTCCTTTTTTCTTTAGACAGCATGGCTATAAACATGCTTATAATGATTCCATATTTCCGTTTCTACCACAAATTATATTCCTCTCAGGTACTGTTGTGCTTGATTTTATTTTTTCCTCCCTTCCTACGGTTACATAAAGTCCTTCAGTAGTGGCATTGGTAAATTATACGTAATAGCAATATTAACACAATAATATAACATTTTATGGCTGAAGTACCGATTGACTTCTTCCACTACTGGTTGGCTTTCGCTTGTGAGAAGCTATTAAAGACATAGCTTCCATAAATACACACACAAAGGTAAAATAGAATGATCAAATTCTTTTTCCTTTGTTTCTTAGAGTCGCTAACCTCACAAATTTGTTGTTTGCTATTGTGAAGACCTGTAAGTATGGTTGTTGATTAAAATACATATTTTAACTTCTGTCAGATTGGCCATCCTGATAACTCAAGTTTTCACTTGTTTGCCTGTTCAGGGAAGGAGTGGCACACAACTTTGGATGTGGTCAGTGGCATAAGGAAGTGAAAGCAGCAATTTTCTTTATCATGGCCTTTGATTTTACAGGGATTGTTTTCCATTTGTTCTGCCTCAGGGATCACCTCTTCAGCTTCAGTGGCAATTAGATGAACATAGGAATTCAGAATATTCAGCAAGGCATAGTGTTTTTCTTCTGGGAAATGTTTAGGCCTTGAATCATAATGAAAAGTTCTCCCACCAAATGACCTTGGTTTTACCAGGTCATCCTTGCTGACCACAGGAAGCTGATATACAAGTAGGAGTAAAAAGGAAGGTGCATATAGAATCTTTGCTGAAAAATTGACCTCATCGTTCTGCAAGAGGGAAAGGAGCTAAGATCTGGAATCAGCAAAAATACTGTTTTATAAAAACATTAAATGATCTAAACAATATGCGTTCAAATAATAATATAATACCTCATGGCATTTCAATGTCTTCAGCATTTATTAAAAAAACATTCTACTTGTGAATAACAGAGAACTGGGGAGCCAATTTGCACTCTAATTTACTCTATGGCTTTGATTCCAAAACCTATGATATATTTTATTAGAATAATTTCTATTGATAATGAAATAATTAGTGTCCTCTAATTTGGGCCTATTTTCTTCACATATCTTATGTACTTTGAAACGTATCAGTTAATTGGAGTTGCCATTTAGATGCCAGCTTTACTGCAATCAGTTTTTAAATCAGTGTAGGACATACTGTAATTGAGAATGAGCTTCCAGGTATCCCAGTGGTCACTTTGTGGTGCTCCCAATAAATAGCACAATTTTGAGAATATGAAATTAATCTCTCATCTGCTAAATGCATCCTGCTGTGAAATTACAGCCAGTTAGAAAAGGAAAGATGCCTTTAGCATAGAAAAATGGCTTGAGAGAATATGAAAGTTATAATGGAAAATGTAATAGATGCCAGAAATAATTACACAGGTGACTTCCACAGAGTATGACTGCCATTCCTTGAATTTCTTGAGAAAACCCAGAGCCTGTTATTAATTAAACTGCAAAATAGGAATTGACTGTGGTTCTTTAACCATCAAATAGTCTGCTTTTCTTGTATATACATTACGTTTTTCAAGGGGTAGCCATTCCTGAAA